GAACAATTTGAAGTATATGAAAATATTTTTGGTTTTCTAGTTAGTGGGAAAAAATTGAGATCATTAGATGATGAGAATTCAAAAAAATATTGTCTTAATCTTGAATGTTCCTTAAAACATAATACTCACTCCGATATTGACGGTTTAGACTTATTTTCTGAGTTAAAAGTGTTAAGGAAAATCATACAAGTAGAAGACAATACTCTAATTGAGATACTTAATCAAATAAAAATACTTGATTCTTTTCCAAATGCTTACATTGCTTATAGAATAATGTTAACAATTCCTGCAACAGTCGCTTCAGCAGAAAGAAGTTTTTCAAAATTAAAAATAATAAAATCGAATTTAAGATCAACAATGTCTCAAGAAAGATTAAGTGGTTTGGCTATATTATCGATTGAAAAAGAATTATTAGAAGAGATTGACTACACAAAAATTATAAACAATTTTGCATCTCAAAAAGTTAGAAAAATAGATTTGAAATAAAAACATATATAATTTTTAAAAATTTTTTAAGGCCTCTAGTTTGATTTTGGCCTTAGGCCACCAACGGGTTTGAGCCGCCCCTGATATATATATATATATATATGAAGTATTAGAAACACTTCTAAACTTGATGTAAATTATTAGTTTTGTCTTCGAATTAGTTACAATCTTAAAACCATTCATTTACTTGACTAACTAAACTTAGATACACTCCCGATATGCAACATGACATAGCTAGTGGCACTACATAAAAAATGATCGTTAGCGGCAATTAAGAATATTTATTTTTAGCGGCACTTACCACTCTTTGTATATGTCCCTAAAGCCATTAGCAACATTGATTCTAATGGCACTTAACTAATGCCGGTAAAAACTTTAGCACTCTTTATTAATGTCAATATTTATTGCCGCTAAAAGTTGTTTTTGTTGTAGCGTGGTGTCAAATTCTTGTATGAGCATGAGACTCTTAAATGTTGAAAAGAAACCTAAACTAGGCGAGAATTTAGGGGTGTATTTCACTCATGTTGCAAGATCAGAGATGTATTTAAGTTCACTTAGTCAAGTAAAGTGGTGTTTTCAAGGCCATCAATAGTTCGTGGATGAAACTAATAATTCACACCTAATTTAGAGTGTATTGAATACTTCTCTATAATATAATAAAAAAAGTAATCGCATATTTATTTTTCTATTGTTTTTCCTGTCTCTCGAATCCCAATTAGGTGTTACGAAATCCTATTTATGTTAAAAAACTCAGGGCAAATAATACCCAACATTAGGGTAGTGCTACTTTAAGATAAAGCAAATAATTAGCAGCCTTTGCTATGTTAAACAAAAAAAATAAAAAAATTGGAATCATGTTATATATCAATTGTTTGATTGTTATATAATGATACTTAATATTAACGATTTTATTAATTAGATCTGCGTTGGCTATAATTTCAACATAGAAGAATCTAGAAAGGGAGTGCACACTTTCAAATTCAATGCAAGAAGTCAAAACTTAATAAGGTCATTATGACCATTTGTTTCACGTAACATAACATATTGTATTTTCTAACTATATTTGTTTTGTAAAGATGATTTACGTACGGTCATCTACCTAATTTAATTATTCACTCTATCTCTCAAATTTAAATAAATATAATTTGTTACGATCACGAGATGCTTTTATTAATTTGCATAATTTGATATCTCAAATTTGTACCATTGAGTAGATATCAAACTATTAGCTAATTAATAGATCGTTGTATCTTAATCTTATCTTTGACTCTTTAAGCACGTTGACGAGCATATTGTATTTTCTAACTATATAGTAATTGAAACTACATATTTAGATTTTAGGTTACAACTTTTAGGAATATCCATCAAGACTTATATATCTTAATTGAGTAATCAATTTACCTTAATTAGTTTAATATATTGTTAAAAAAAGAGTCTAGCTAGATGACTAGATCAAAAAGCAAATCAAGTCCAATGTATGATATATATATATATTTTATTTTTATTTATTTATTTTATTTTATTTTGCAATCATACTAACAATTTATCGAAAGAGGGAAAAAAATCGAACTATTTCTCGAAAGAATAATAAATAGAGTACTATAAAAGTTTTTGCAAACAAAAAGAATGCATGAACATAGTAAGTCACTTAAAATCTCATCAGACTCTTCTTGAATCTAAATCTACTCAGAATTAATGATTTCATTTTTTATGTTTAATAAAATCTTAACTATATTTATAAATATAACTTGAAAATATTTTAATAATGACTATTAAAATTCGAAATACTTTAAATATGGTAGACATTAACTCATAATTATAAAAGTCATAAAAATCATACAATTCATATGTGTCAATCCCAGCTCGTTAGTTAAAAACAATCCAAGAGAGTCACATATAAATTTTATAGTCTTGTTCTTTAATGTTATGTTGTTTTAATAACTTGCCAATCATTACTTATATTTGTTAGTTATATGACTTATAATTAAGTAATTTATTAGTTACTCATTATGTATAAATAAATTTAAACCAAATTTTTTGAATATAATTTAAAACTATTTCAATAACAACAATAACTCAAGACACTTTACATATGATACGTATTGACACATCATAAAAATCATATAGTGAATGTGTGTTGATGCTAGTTAACAACATATATTAATGTTGTAATTATCTTGCACCCTTATCTTATGCTGATTTGATAACTTGTATTTATTATTAATATGATCTCTAATTAAGTAGTGTTTTTAAAAAAATATTATGCTTCTTTAGATGAATTTTAAATTTTTAAATGCTCTAATTAAACATAATATATTTGATAAGTTCATGCATCTTTCAAAGAGTTTATCTGTCCACCAAGACAGAAAAGTTGCAAAATACTGTTGTAGTGCTTACTATAACGTGTTGACCTTTTCTTCTTCCTTCTTTTTTTTTTGGTTGAAAGGAATCTAGTGAAAGTTACAGCATTCTTGTTTGATTTTTGCACTTAATTAATTATATTCTGGAGAAAATTAAGCGTGCATCTGTTCAGTAATTTAAGGAAATCGTTGTTCTTGAATTCAAATACAATAAATAAATAGATAAGGTCCATAATGAATCTTACACTTTCTTTAAAAAATTAATACTAATAACAAGAAATCTGAATATACCGACTAAGATTTATTAATTGCTCAACTATGACATCACTATCAAGAATTGGCATCAACCTATATAACATATGTTCCCATGTAATCAGCATTCTAGAAGCAAAGTACCAAATATGTCGCCAAGTTCTTTAACTCTCTTCGTTTTAATTCTATTTCATTTTATTTTTTGATAAAGATATTTCTGATATCGGAAAAGAGTCCTATTTATTTTTTGGCCATTGACCATATTAATATTTATCCTCAGTTATATTTTTTCAATAAATATATTTTATAGTTATACTTTAAAGTTATATTCTATATTTGTTAAAATTAGTTATTATTTATCCTTTACTCGTTAAAAATTTATTTTCAACTTTAAAAAGGCAAGTGCCATATTCTTATTGAACGGAAAAAATCATCCTATTGTCTATCAAAGAGGAATATAATTAATATACTTTGAGAACAAAAATTAAAAATCACCTCCAACATTGTAGCAATTTGTGCAACCCATTGCTAAGTTTATTAAAGGCATCTTTTTTGTTTTATCAAAGAACAGATCTGAATAGTATCCCTCTTCAAACTCAAAAACATAGAACTATTATTAATCACGTTTCAATGACCCAAGTTGAGCAAGTAAAATTGGGTAAATTCTTCATCTATCATTTTTTTTTAAAAAAAAAGGGCAAACAACAAAAATCTCATTAGCTTAGGGTCTAATTATGTATTTTTATGTGAGTTTTTAAAACTAGTATTCGTGTTAGATGTCGGTCTCCAGATACATCTTTCTCATATATACGAGGACAAAATTAATAAGGTGTAATTTATTCCAAATACACTGTATCCAAGTGGATTCGCATGTATCTGAAATATATTGACTCTCTCGCATCTCTCCCATGTATTTATAACTCAAAATGTATCAAGTATCACATATACATGTATCTAGTGTGACTCACATGTATCTGGACTAAACTGACTCTCTCGTTCGCCTCTCTCCTATCTCGCTTGCATCTCTCCTCTCTCGCTCGCCTTTCTCACAATGCTTATGTATTCAGAGTGTATCTAGTAGCAAAAACTCATGTATCTAGGTGTATTTGACTTAAAATTTGGTATGAAATTATGAATTAGTGAGACATGAAACTATTTCAAACTACATGGAAAAATAGTAAATACGGTAGGAACAATATACTAGATAGTTTTTCTTTAGAAAATCAATTGGGCCTATGGCCCATTTTTGCTACTTAACCTGATTTCCCAGAATTCATTTGGGTCAGGTGTTTTGGGCAAATCTTTGGAGTTGGATTTTAGTGAGAGAACTCAAAATCTTGGGTCCTTTTTGTTCTTCGTTTAAGAGTTGGGCTAGAGGAATACGTCAAGGAAAGGAGACCCTTTATCCCCATATGGTCATATCTATGCAAAATTGGTGAACTTCTGGTCTAGCCAATGAATTCTGTATATACGAACCCACTTACAGAGTCTATCTTGGTTTATATCCCAATCTTTACTACAAAAAATTATTTTATTCCCAAATTAATATGCCAAAATAGGGGGTCATTCGCACTTTTGCCCTTATTTTATGTTGGTTTGAATTTTTTATCAACAAACAACTTTTTCGTGGGACATATATCATAATAATCCACAAGTAACGCCTGGACATGACTTCAGTTTCTAAAGAACCTATGCCCCACTAGACATAAGTTCAATTGCTAAAGATCAGACAACCCTTTGAAGGACAAAATTTGGAATTTTTTGAAAAATACGCCCTCCATGAGAAATCAAGAACCCTTTCACAATCAGACATTTAGAATTCCACTTGCTTTTTAGTAGTTATTTCAAAGTACCATTTTCTTAGTCAAAGATATTAAATGGATTCAAAATTTCAGATCACAGTGTTGATGTTAGATGAAATATATATGAGTAAATGGTTCTACTTATCTAAAGCCTTCCACCAATATAGCTTTCCTTAAGGTTCTGCAGAGCCTCCCTTAGAGAATCTTCATCCTGATCAGAATATTTCAAGCACATCAGCCGTTGAGCTACACGGTAAATCAATTGTACGTCCTCGTACTGTCTGCAATTCACCTCCATTCTCTTCATTTCCTATACAAACACGAAAAAAGAAGGCAAACCGATCAAACATAACATGGATGTGCAATTTACCTTCCTCAAAGCTTGGAAAATTGAAACAAAAAATGCAGGGAAGAAACGCAAATGTATGGAAAATCTCCGCCTATGTGAGTTTCACAATGTGTAGTTGGTCCCAAACTCAGGATAAAAGAGCAGTACTGTGATAGTTGATGGCCACACTTGAAATCTATGTTGCTCGGACCCTTCAAAATGTCGATAGGTGCATGTCAGATACTCCAAAAGTAGTGCATTTTGGAGAATCCAACACTGCTGTGCCAATAATTTTAGGGAGTCTGAGCAACATAGCTTAAAATAGTCTAAGTTGGTGCAAGGGTGAGATGTTGCTATGATGCACTCAAGAGTGTGGTCTAATGGTCAATGAAGTGAATTAAGAACCATGAGGTCTCAGGTTCAAATTCAGTTTTTTCTATTTTAAAGAGAATGGTGGTGGAAAGAAAAGGAACTCTCGCAGTGGTAAAACGAACTACAAGATCTTTCAACACAATGGCAATTTCCAAACAAGGCATTCTTTCATTGCGGAAGTGAAACAAGTTACCTTCTCTGTGATCCTAGATGTGATTCTTTTGGCAGTCTCCACTACTGAACTTGGTAATCCAGCTACCCCTGCTAGCATGAGGCCATAATGTGGCACATGACGTGACCCATCCTTCAGTTGAAACTAAGTAGAAAACACAAAGAGGAAATGAAAATGAAGGTATAAATTGTTTATAAACCATTGAATGATTCAGAGATATACCTTGAAGTCCATGCGGTTATTCCTCACATCAACATCAAAATGAAGAGTTTTTACATTTGGATACATGGTGGATAGCGCTGATAGATTTTCCATATGAGTAGCAAATATTGAGTACCTGCAAACAGATTAAATAGAATCAAAGAGAAGCAATTGGACGTACATTGGGTTGAATTATGTAACTTGGCTGTATGTATTAAATTCTGCGACAAAATAATATACATCCAACAGCAAGAGACCCAATTCTTTATGAAAACCTAAAGAATGTGTAGTTATTTTTCTTTATTTCTTATAACCATGGTGTCTGGGCCAGCTTGCGCCTCCCACCAGCAACAACAATAGGTAACTCTATCCACCAAAGTTTGAACAGATGGGAAGTTTTTGTATCTGCTGGAATTTGAACTTGAGACCTCATGGTTCTCAACCCACTTCATTAACCACTATATCACACCCTTGGGTCCAAAGAACGTGTAGCTATTGAAAACTTAAAAGAGTGACAACGTACAATATAATAAGCTCACTGGGTAGAAAAATATCTGGACAGCAGAAATGCATCCATAATTATATAGAATTTGACATTATTATTGGGGCCGCATGTCTAAGAATCTAGAAGAGTTGATTAATCACAAAATTTAATGCCCCAAACACCTCCTAGTAGTTCTCTGCCAATTTTCTAAGAACTATGAAGTCTAAAGTTCAATTCTGAGATATAATGACATCTAGGAAGTAACAAGATGAAGAGTTTTATCAGCCTTCTGAACAAAAATGAAGAAATCTTTTAAAGGTAACATCTTGCTTCTCTATAATGAACTTCAAACTAGTGATTCTATAAGAGGCTCAGTAAACAATCTTATGTATGTCTGCAGATGAATGTTAATGCCTTTCTTCTTACAAGAAATTGTAGATGATATCACAAAATTCACTCCCTATTTCAAGGTCCGGCACAGTATTTATTATTCAACCCCGATATTCAAATACCAGATAAGAATAATTTCAAGCCTGACGTTCCCCTTGGTATGGTTTTTGTAGGTTCACTAGCAATCTTGATTGGTTTCAAAATTCTTTGCTCCTTATTTGAATCCTGCTTCTAAGAAGCCTTAGAATTGGAAGTCGTATCTTTTATAGCATCCAGGTAAAAGCAGAGTTTTAGCAGTTTGCAAGTACCAAATATTCCTTCAACTTATCAAGTGAAAAATTAAAGCCTAAATTTCAAACTTTGCTGCAGTCCATACAATGTAAAATATAAGCTACCTAATTATAGGCTTTGTTATGAAATACAGTACATGTTTGGGCTAGTAAATATTTAAGCATATGGCATTTAAGATTGAAATACAAAGAGAGCTTTGAGATTACGCTTTAAGTGCCAATAGATGCTCACAACAGCTCCACGCGATTGCGAATCCATCAGAGGATGAAGTTGCCCTCCCCAATTCATCCATAACAATCAGACTTCTGTGTACAGCAAAGGAAGAACAAAATTTTAAACTTTAGACAGACAAATCCTCATGCTAAGTCAGTGGAAGCATTTTGTGAAACAATCTACCTATGGGACACGTTTTGCATGATAAAAGCCGTCTCCTTCATCTCTGTCATGAACTGCACAGACAACAGTTACATGAAATATGGGTGATTTCTATATTGGCCATCTCTGTGACAGGATGATTCGAATATGAAGAGAACATTTGCAAATTGAAGACGTCAAACTTCAGTAGAAATTTGGCAAAACTAATGTTAAGCTTTTTACAAGTAAAACTAACTATTGCATAAATACAGGAACAAAATCAATGCTCTTCTAAAATATAGAACTTCCATGCAAGAATATACCATTCACAAGTAGATGATTATACCGTGCTAGAGTTTGATTCGAGACTGTCCATTGTTCCCATCCTTGTGAAAATACGATCGACCACCCTCAAAGTGGCAAATCGAGCAGGAATATAGCAACCAATTTGAGCAAGGATGATCATTAAACAAACTTGCTGAAGATAAGTACTTTTTCCGCTCCTACAACAAACAACATGCGGGAGTTATCAGGTAGAAAAATGGCACAACAAACCCATGTGAGGCAGATAGAGCTTATCTAAGATGCATGGGAGGGATGAGAGAGGTAAGTCAAGAGGTGTTGAAGTCCCCATCATCCATTATTTTTCTTTGCTCAGTGCTTCAATTAAAAGACGGAAAAAAACTTATGCTGTAACTTCCCGTTAAATATATGTCCGGGGATAAAATCTTAATCGAGAGAAGAAGGTTCTCATTTGTTCCCTTCCCTCAATGCCAAAAATTTTGAAGAGTTCGACATGATGTGAAAGGGGATATGGTGTCACTCATACTGGATGCCGTGATACTCACAAGAAGAACAAACCAACACAGACAGTTTAATTTTCTTTAGGAATATAATAAGGTTCCTTACATGTTTGGGCCCATTACAATAGCCATATTTGATGCTTCAGAAAGAAAAATGCCATTTGGCTGCAAAAGAGAATTCAATACCACTTCCAAATTCAGAAATTTCTAGTATCAAAGTAGAGAAAGGCCATTAACTTGCTATGTCAAGAGCAATTTCAAACTTCTTCTAAGATCATTAGAAGAAAACAACATACAATGAAATCATTGTGTATGCTTTCCAGAATGGGGTGCCGTCCAGAATCAATTGCCAATGGGCCATCACCTACGAGGGGAGAAAAATTTAACCACTCAACTTTTTTCATAATCTTGGCATCAAGTAAGTATTGAGAGTTATGACTAAATACTCACATGTAAAACGAGCTCTAGTATATCTATCAACTGGTTTTGTTGATATAGTGTGAGCAAATGAATTTACCATCATGTCTAAAAGGCACAACACTTCTGCAAGAACAGTAAGCACAGAGACATCCTCTCGTATTGCATCCATTAATGCTGCATGTTAGCATGAAAGGGAAAAAATTCTAAGTACGGATAGTTCTCAAATAACAATAGGGTAAACAGAATGAAGAGTATGCCACTTGCTGAATATATTATATGCAAATACAGGTTAACAGATGCATCTTTCATGAGTTAAGCAGAATTGTCAGAGACATACAAAAACCCAATATTAATACAGAAGTAATAAGCAGAAGATGGTGAGTTATCTTCCAAGTACAGATTGGAAGAAAACGTTAACATCCCATCTCATTCAGAAAAATCCTTATCCTTCTAATCAGCATGTCGCTACTAGTAGTTAAGTAATGTTACTCTTGCTAAGCAACCAGCCATATTATAAAGGATATAAGTCCTGCCTGGAGCTATACTTAGAATCATTGAGATGCAGGGAAACTACTACGCAGATCTCTACCAGAGACCAGGACAGGCAATAAGATATAAAATATTATTGGATGCTTTTACTTATCAAAACATATATATTATAGGAGGATTTTATCAAAGATTTTGACCTCTGTTGACATATGCAAAAGCTCTCGTTTAAAAGCCAGTAATGGCAAAGCACTCCCTTGCCGCACCCATAAGCTACATGTATACAGTGATTTTGCAATATTCTCTCATCGCAATCAACTCTGATAGACCATCCACGCAGATATCTTATAGGGGTTTTATGCAGAATGCAAGGCAAAGAAGATAGGAAGATTTCAAAAGATCATTTTTTCTATTTAACCAAAGCTCTAAAGATGTCATAATGATTTTTTTCTTTCTACATTTAGGTTTTAACTAAAGCTGATCCGCTGACGAATTTAGGGTTACATCATCATATTCTTGAGTCAAGGATATTATAGTAACAAGGTATTTGTATTGAGTTCGTAGGAAATAAATATACCCTACTATTCTTTGCATCTTTTCAGCAATAAAACAACTAAGAATCAGCCCCACATTTTCCACTCTTATAATATGTTTATGTTCCTGATCCACTAAATTGTCCTCAATCAGCTTTGCCCTCTGGCATGACTAAAACCACAAAACTTTAGAATAAAAATAGTCCTGACAGTTTCATTAGTTCAAAGTTCAAACACCAAAAAAGGTTTGCTGAAATAAGATGAAACACTATAATATGTTTAAGAACATTTCTTCTTGCCCCTTGGAAGCACCCAAAGAAAATAATCTAAGCTTTATGAAGCAAATGCCTTAGTTATGAAGTCACCGCTAATTTTGTCATTCTGTGTGGACAAGCATTTGATTGGGTAGACAAGAGATCCAATAGCAGTAGTAGAAAAAGATGTGCATTGCACCCATCAATTTACCTTCAAGACAAAATGCAGTCCTCAACCAGCATTCTTTAGCTGCAGACTTGTTCCTCACATTCAACTGTGAATGAAGAAAAAACACCTCATCTATGAGCAAAGAGAAGGATAACCACCTGAATATTTGCACTTACTCTCTAGTTACTTTGATTGTCTGGAACTTTTCAGAAGTATTTTACACCACATGAAAGAAAACCAATTTACGTAGTTCATGAGTGTAACTCATTCTCCATTACAGTTGTCACCATCCTTGCTTAAGCCTTAACACTACATTCACCAATCTATACAACTATTACCAAGCAGTGTGTCCTCACCTACCTTTCACTATTATTGCAAATTGAAAGCATTTTACACCGATCCAGTAACTGGATTTCCTCATAAAGATTATCAAGAGGAATATATTATGGAATATGTTTTGCGTCCAACCAAATGGATCCTATAGTGGATGTCCAGTAATACTCACTGAAGCAAGCTCAAGACTCGAGCAATGGACATTGTTTCCATGTTTCACGACCTGATTATGTGAAACTTGTTAGAGGAAACGAAGCAGGATGCATAAGGACAGTTTAACTTATATCATAGCATAACAACCTGGATGAACTTGCTGGGCAGTTTTCCCTGTATGTCCTTCTGTGGAATGCTAAAGTAAAACCCTTGCCTATTATTGAATGGGATCTTCAAGTTCGGCAGTTTGAAATCTTGACGATACTTATTTGCGAGACTGTGTATAGCTATGAAATCAGTGTGTTAGAAACTAAGACAATGCACTTGAAAGAAATTAAATCGTTAACAGAAAACTTCCAATGCACTTCCTTCACTCGTCTCTGTTGCATACCTAATTTACAAAGCCCCGAAATTTCCACTCAATTCCAAAAATAAATAAATTAAATCATGTAATATAGTAGAAAAACCTTCGCTGGTGTCACAGAATGACCGCCGAGCCATATCAAGAAGCCCATCTGCTCCAGCCTTAACAGCAAAACACTGCTGTGTCCGTGCAACAAAAGGAACTCTTGTATGAAGGACATCTTCGTCAATCACCTCTCCAATTCTGAGAAAGTAAATGTTGCATGGATAAAATAAATATATGAACTGCTGAATGGACACAATAACACAGTTATTGTCATCTAGGAATGATCGTATAATAATTAGAAAACTAAATGTATAATACAAAGAAATCACCACTCATTAGTAATTTGCCACATCATAGCATCTTAATCCTTTAGCGATGAACTTTATTTTACTCTTACTTCGTTTAATTGAGAGAAACTAATTTTCAAACTGACAAAAACAGTATCCATCGAATATCCTACATCATCATCCTAGAACTGTGTGGCAGCTAAGAAGATTGAGTAGGCACAGGAATAATTAGCTCATGGACGTTAGACAAAATTGAGGAACAGGAATCCTCTCTTTCGGCAGAACAAGAACCGAGAAAGAAGGTCCTCCTAGAGGGGATTGAAGTGGAGAAGATCCAACATATATTAACAACGAAGAAAAGGAACTGTCCGAATTCTGAAGAGGGCTCTCTCCGACAAGGAGGAAATTGGGGGAAAGCATCATATATCTTGGCTAATTTGAACATTACCTTTTCCTTATTGAAGTATATTTTTCATTCTCACATATGGTTTTGTACACATTTCCAAGCAGACAACTCTTGGCTTCTTTAAGAACCTGAATCACGAGCTAGTTATTGTACCAGATAAGATCCAGAAAAATGTCAACCCCTGAACCCAACAATGGTGCTGCACCTTGGAGAGTAACGGTATAGCATCAAGAGCTGTTTTGAGAAGAATAATGCTGGATATCATTATCTGGCTCCTTCTTCCATTATCCGAAGCCAAGACTTCATTAGTAACTCTCTTTGGCTTGAAGCAGAAGTGACAAAGGACCCTATCTAGATGGAGAAGCATCCATCAACTTTCTGAAATGGGAACAAACTATATAGAATACGAGTGAGAACCCACCTCCTTCCTTACATGGTTACCTGTTTCTTTCGGAAACTTACGAAGGGCCTGAGACAAACCAAAGAATAGCTGTTCATTGCTCATCAACTCATCCTGGAGATCAATTGACGAAAGTGTCAAACTTGTAACTCGTTTAAAGTATGAAATTTCAATAAAGGATACACCAAAAAAAAAGATGAATGAAGTAGTGAGCTGAATGTCAATATTGTGAAGATGAAAACCCTGTCTTTTGTCCAACTTGATATGCACTTTGGTTGGGTGGGTGGATGGGGGGGTGTAAACGAGTGATATCAGGGCCTCGAAGGAAAAGTAATAATGCTTTCAAAAGCTGTAAAGCATGATAATTGTCAAAAAAGGGTAAAGAAACAGTTTTAACAGTTGTTTGAAGATAGTATATACTTAAAGGTTTCGGCTAGGTCAAATTATATCCTGAAAAGCACAGCATAAAACTACAAGACCATAACTCTCAGAAAACAGCTGCAGGCTTTTTTAAATTTAATTGCAACTAAAACCCAATCAAGTAATGACCAATGTAATTGCATAATCTGGCAGCTATAGTCAAACAGCACATCCCTGATCCCTCAGTGTTAAAAACTTCTATTTTCTGCTAGTAGTCAAAGAAACCTCAATCTCCTCCTTCCTGTTTCGATCCTTCTTCTTTTTTTTTCACCCAAAACCTTTTTTCAGAGAAGGCTTCTTCTCAGTAAAATAATTCCTCTAGAGGAGATATAACGAACAATAACTATGCCTCAATTCCAAACAAGTTGGGGTCGACTATATGAATCTTCACTATTCCATTGAAGTTCAACTCATGTCCTCATCCTGGAGGAGATATAACCACAATAGATAAATTCTTAAAGCAGAAAATTACTAGACAAAAGTACCATGTAAAACATGAAATTTTTTAGGAAGGATGGTGGTAAATTCTGATTCCATAACAACAGAGCATGTTATATATTCATCTGTTGCATGTGATACATTGAAAACATACCAGGCAATCGAGTCGAGTGTTAATTGTCTCTATGTCTTTCAGAGGCTGCAAAAGATTTGCCCTCAGAAGTCTAGTCCTGCAGTGGAGTATAATCAAGCGAATTCAGCATTATGCTGCAGGTGCACAACATACTGAAAAGACAGATTACGAGCTTTCCATCCTGAGCAGAACATTGTCATAAGAACTATGAAGTTGGCTCAAGTGTGAGGGCTTTGGATGTACATGTGTCATACTTTTAATCACAAAATAGCAAGAGGAATTATTAAGCACATTTCTGACTTCTCTTTATATACAATTTGGTGCTGGCGAAATTATTTCCATACCCTCCAATAGTTCGAGTGAAAGATATAATACCAGCTAATCAATGAATTATTTCCATACCCTCCAATAGTTCGAGTTGTTTTAAGCATGTGGAATAAACTTCTCTTTTTGTTGTTTGTGCCCAGAAGAGAAGAGTGCATAGGCTCAATTATCTCCAAGTTCTGAACACTGCCATCAAAGACGAAGTATAAAATTTACAGCATCTACAAAATCATACAGTAAATTCTAAACACATTCCTTTAGGATATTCTGTAACTATTTTGCTGATGTTGTTAGCTGAAATGAAACTCAGCAGCCACTACGACTAGTAAGTGATAGATGCAAGTTGATATGCAACTGTCTATAGTTTGGTACGAGGAGGCTACCTGGTGGAATCAATGTTCATGTGGTCAAAAGATCCATTAAAAGTAACCTGTGGAAGAGAAGATGAATTTGAATCCCAAATACTACTTTTAATTACTCGAGATACATGAAATTCTTAGATGTGCTTATCCACCAAGTGGCACATTAATGTTATATGTATTTTTAACATTTTTGTTTCTTGATCACGTAATGAGAAATCTCTCTAACCAAAGGAACTTCAAAGAATTGTCGCACATGGCATTATAAAGGACACTAGTGAACAGCGATACTAACCTTCAAAGAGCTAAAAGTAATGTCAATTCAGTTTTTTTTTCCTTAGAAACGGGATATGTTTGACTAACTCACTAACCTCCTACTGCCCCATCCGCCAAAAATAGAAATGAATAGAGAAAGAAATTTTCAGTGACATGTTCTAGTCATGTACACTAAAGCTGGACATAGTAAGCATCAATTAACACAATAATGTGAACTCCCAGACCTACTAGGAAAAATCGGTCAGGCCAAAAATATGCAAAAACATGATCTGAGACATTCTTCTTTGCTAGTATTATTTATTGGTTGTGCCGCAACTACAACAATCACAACCAAATTAGGTGCTATTGGTTAACGGGGACTAGTTCATACTTCTTTCAAATTCTTACACTTTACTGTGGTGCAATTTGATGGCCAAAATAATTGAAATCAATAGTAGCTATGCAAAGATTTAACCATTTCACATGGTAAAATTATTCTTGCAGTATATAAATTAAATAAATTGAAGTACTCTGTATGTTTTATACTCCTATTTGATCCTTTCATGCATGAGAAGTCACACATACCAGCAAAGAGTGATTTGTTATAATAACACCTTTCTCTGCTTCGATCCTGCACATTATGTATGTGGCATATGTATTAATATCCCGAAAAAAATCAAGTGAAACAAGAGGCAGTTTTCCTCTAAATCATTAGCATCTTAATATGCGGAAAAATAATCTTGTTTTGTTTCACATATTGGTAATATAGCTCATAGATCGACAATATATTTCCTTCAAAGTTAAGAATATTAAATTGGCATTGCAAGTGTTACAAGGCTCTACGGTTGTAGTTGATACAAAATATAAATTGAAGAGAATCTGGAGATCTGATGCAAGTAATGTGCAGTAAAATCTTGTTGTAGCACAAGAGAAATCATGCTATCAGATGACCTCTTTGTTACAACTCTCACCAAGCATCAAATTGTGTCAGTTTTTCATAAAAGCTAATGAATGGAAGTCTTCACATTACTCAAACTGTATTCAACAAAGTAACATAGTAACATGAGGAAACTCAGATGTTTAAAGAGCTAAGGATGAGATCTCAAAGTCTTATGTCGATTGTGGAGCACACAATGTTACTCATTTGTGGAGAGAATTTTAGCTCCCTACACTGTGCTTTGAGGACATAATTGTTGACTTGGACTTGCTCTTTTAGACGCTGACAACTTAAGCCCAAGCAATAACTAACTGAGATCTATACTAAATGACCATTCCTGAACTTAGTGGCTCAAATTGCAAACTTAGGTATCAGAAAGAGCATTGGTGAGACTCCTATAGCGAAGCCAATTCAGTGTTTGTACCTATCAGAAATGGATATCAGTGTTGTTGAAAACTGTTCTACAAACTACATTACAACTCTCAAGATATGACTAAAGAATTTGAAATTATCATTCTATATGCAAGAAGCATTGATGAAGTACCGCGTCCAATAAATTGGAAGTCACCATAGCATCATACCACTTGATAGTTGCAGCTGCTGCAGCCAAGCACAAATAGTATTGCTTGTAGTATGAATCCAGTCCAAGAGCAGACGGTTCCTTAGCAGCTAAACCTTTAACCAGTACAGCTCCCTTCAGAATGTATTAAAGTTTGAAGCAGTGTCAGTGTTTAAAACTCATTAAGGCATATAGTTTAAAGCCATCACAATTTAATGGGGAAGCAGTGAAGCCAATACCCTGGTATCATCAAAGCAACCACGGGCCATTATAACCTGTCTATATCAACATAAGCATAAGTTTTTGGCTTTTAAAACATTTCAATCACGCATTTTATCAAAACAGATCCACCAATATGTGTAGAGGACACTTGCCTTTTTTGTGGAGGAACAAACTCTGTCAGCCAGTTGTGAGACTCCAACCATTCCATCCGCCGCCAGTTTATTGGGGGAAACAATGATCACCATAGGTTCATAGAACTGTAGTAAAGTCTTTGTATTTTGATAGGAGCTGCTAGTCTCTATATACTGAGAAAGATGCAGTGACGCTGATCTCAAATCAAACGCAGCTACTCCAACCTGCGATAAATTGCTATTGCCAGTTAAGATGTGAAATTTCGGCAAAGCATGGTTTCCTTTTCTTTTCAACTCTGAATTACTGCTTAATAAGTTGTTACCTTTTTTATAAGTAATATTCAATCCAAAGAACTGGCAGAAAAACAACAATGTCTTTTTGAAAGTTAAGGAGACAAACTTCACTAGAATTTATGAATAACTTGGAAATTCAATTTTTAACTGAATTAACATCTCAAACCGACTTGCATCCAGGGAACCTTAGGCACAGATTCTTTCTTTAAATGCAATTCACCTGAGTACTTATTGGGTTTCTTTTGAAAAAGGAAAAAAAAGTGTTAAGTCCATTTAAGTCAACAAGAAAAAATGTAGAGTGCAGCTTCACCCAGGGAAGCACCATAGACTTCTTTTAGCTGGTTCCATTCGAGATCATTTTAAGCCGTAAAGTTCTGAGGAACTACAATAAATGGTCCATAGATTCAACTAAAGCTAGAAGCTTCTTAAAGAATTTAGTAGAATGCTACCACAAGATTAACAAATGTATTCAAGGTGAAGGAAAATACTAATGTTGATGCATGCATTTAAGATGAGCAAATGTGAATGCAGCAGCTAAATGTAGATGAGAGAAATAATTATAAAATTTTCTTTGTTTCCTGGTATGAGTACTCACTAAGAAACAAATTATGGTAATGCATTCATTCATTAATTGGACAAAGTTACTCCTTTCCCCCAATTTATATGACACACTTCCCATTTTAGGACCTCCAAAAAAATGTTTAACATCATTCCACTGATAATATTGTTAATCCAACTTTCAAGAACTCAAATTTAGTTACCTTTCCAAATTTAAACTTTGATGTGGTAGTTCACTATTTTACCTATCAAACTAATTTCTCAGTTATTAATTTGATTCTTTTTCTATTATACTAGTCAAATTCAACATTTTAAACTCTCAGTCAAAAATTATCTTATGAAGTACACTGTATAGAGTATATCTTATTGTTTATTGTAGAGACCTAGATAGATAGGGAGGACCTCGTTTTGATCAAATAATAAGAGCGTTCAATCAGTGCAACTTATTGCTAGGAGAAAGGACTTGAGGGGGATTAATATGGTCCATCGCATCAAATGTGATTGACCTAAATGTTTGCTAATATTCCTGTAATTTCAGAACCTTCTTTTTCACTAGTTCAGTAGCTCACACTTCTCCAACAACAGTCTATATCTGTGCAGTATACCAGTCATACATCTTGATTACCTCCATACATCAGTGAATATCACATTATATAACCACATTCCCACACATAAACTTGAAAGTAAGCATGTTCTTCAAATTTGATAAACTCCAAACTATCAGTCTATCATGACACGTATAAATTGATGACCTGCTCTTACCTCTGAATTACTTAAACAAAACAATAAATTTCAAGGATAGAACACCCACATATTCTTTGACAGTATGCTTAAAATGAAGCATAAACCAATCCCTTCTTCGAATTTGAGAAACTCAAAGCTATCGTCAGACGTGTGCATCATATTTATCCATTTCTCAAAATTCACAAACAATTAAGCTATAACACATGTGTTTACATACATGAAATAAACACTCTTAAGGTCACAAAATTACACCTATTTTAAGAAAAAAAGAAGTTCAAATCTGCTAGTTTCTACATCGCAAAATAACAGTTATCTATTCAACAGAAGTTCAAAAATGCTCGTAATACATAGCCAGAAATGCACATAAAAAAATCAAAAACAATATCAACTTTGTGCATCACATCGCGAAATTTGCACCTGTGATTCAAAAGAACACGTTCAAATTTGCTTGTTAAGTTGCGAAATTGCACCTATTCATTCCAACAAAAAAAGGGTTCAAATATGCTCCTTATATATCACAAAACTGCACAGCTTCATTCAAATTTAAGTTCCTATTCGCTGTTAACATCCCGAAATTGCATCTGTTTACTCAAATGAAGTGTAAATATGCTCATTACTAACAAAAAATCACATTTATTCAGAAAAAATGTTCATAATATGCTTGTAATACATAGTTAAATATCACCTATTCATTCAACAAAGAAGTTCAAATCCTCTCATCATACATCACAAAATTGCACTGATTCATTCAAAATCACACATTAAACATCACGAAATCGCATCTGTTTACTCAAATGAAGTTCAAATTTGCTCGTCACTTACGAAAACATTTTCATTCAAAAAAAACAAAAGTTCAAATATGCTCGTAATACATCGTGAAATAGCACCTATTCATTCAAAAAAAAAGTTCAAACTCACTCATTGTACATCGCAAAATCACATTGATTCATTCAAAACTAAGTTCAAATTCGCTCGTTAAACATTCGAAATTGCATCTGTTTACTCAAATTTTGCTGGTTATACGTGTGATGCTCGTCAAAATATTCTGTTTTATGATGTTAATTCGGATATCAACAGATGAAAATACACAAATGCAGAGAAAAAGGAGAAGATAACCTCCTTGGCTCGGTTCTCTATGAACCCGACGACGAAGTTTGATCTTTCTCCGGCGTCTTCTTCCATTGAACTCTGAGCACTCAGCTTGTGAACAGTGAGCAGTGGTGAAAAAACGTGACTTCTCACATTCGCGCCAAGTTTATATATATAGTAGCAAGTTTTTACCCGATTGCCCCTGTATGACGTGGTGTTTATTTTCACTTTTATTTTAATCGTGGTGCTTATTTACGTGGCACGATCATGATTCTACTTAACACAAATTTATTTTTATTTTTTTAAAATAAATATATATATATATATATACTATATGAATTGAGATCGAGGAAGTAAAAATTTGTGGATCAAAATACTTTACCTATAATCTAATTTTGCACACAAGTTTAAGAAAAAATTATCTTGATGAGGGATGACAATGAAAAGAAGGAATTTTAACCCACAAAAAGATCAACCCATCATAATAATACTGTAATTTTTAAAAACTAACTCGTCCCGCCTCATTCCATCCCACTTAATACTTTTTATCTCTTCGTTTTATTAACTAGCTAAAATACATAATACTAAGTTACAATGATCGTGTTATTTGCCTTGTATATGTTATAAACAGTAAAAATAAATAAATCAACTACTACTAATTATTCAAGCAACTTATTCATAAAAAATTTAACTGAAAATTGTTCTTTTAAGTATGGGGTTAATCTTTTTGAGTTTTTGTCTTTATATAAAACCACGTAGTAATAACTAATATATATGGTCCTTTATATATATACTGAAAAAATGATTTCGATGACATTTTTCTAACTGCTTACTAATCTCTTAAAGAATAACTAAATAAGTAATTGCTTATTTTTAATGATAGTATCATTCATTTTTATTTTTATCCTATTTGTTATCCCTACCTATACTAACGAGGGACTGGTTCACATTAATAAATGATGGTATCGATCAGGACAAGCACAACCACTCGTTCTCAAAGCTCTTATTGAAGCTGATAGATGCTTCCCATTTCTTTTGACGGATATCGCCACACTACGAACTTTGTATTTTGACTAATCAAATCACTTTTTTGACATAAATAATTAACATATTCCAACTACTATGTGATTATATATATATA